TATACTTATATTAAAAATAGATTATATTTATTTTTTTTTCTACGAAGCCATTTTGTAACTAAAATAATTATTACGTATACATATAAAAACCTATCTAGTATGCGATTTGAATGTACTATTTTTGTTAAAATTGCAGTAAGAGTAGATTCAAAAAAATATCTAGACATAGAAATAAAATCGTAGTGTCTGACAGCAATATTAAAATAACTACTTTTTTTTTAGTTTCATTGGTTATTTGTATACTATTATGGCACATAAAATTTGTCAGGAATGAACCAGGCAATTGACTATTTGTTATATTTAACAATAACTACCTATTAGCTACAAAACTTTCACTCTGACGAAGTTGTTGGTAAATGCGGTTACTAAATAGAAACAAATTATTCTATGAGTTTGACAGAATGACGTTAATTTCAATTTTTCTTAGTTTTGAACGTAAATAGATTTGACAAATACAATCCTTACGAAACGATTATACATGGAACGGAGAAAATCTACTCGTACAACGAAATTAACAAGTCTGTTTCCTCTACCTACTTGACATTTCGAAAATTTTCTTCCTGTTTGTTGGATCTCCTTTGTCTAAACGTGTTGTAATAAGACAACAAACTCACTTTTCTCTATTATTTCTTAAAAAGGAACGACTTGCCTAAAATTTAAACAAAGAAAATTACACAAGGTAGCTTCCTTGCAAAACAAACGAAAAACAATTCTCATAATAAATATAAATGTATACATCCCATAAGAACTGCTTTCTCTTTCCAAAAATAACGACTTTGCAATCCAACATGATTGTGAAAAGTAAGGAAACGCTGTTAACGTAACATAACATGCAAACAATTGTGTAATTTTTGTTGAATGTTCCAAAAGTTAATTTGTTAAAAGATTCACCTACATCCAGTCAAATATAGCACATCTATAGAATTCTTGTTTTGATCGCTCTAGAAAAATTTCTTTTCTTTTTTAATTTTTACTGGTATATAGTACCTATTAGTGAACCGTGTTTTGGTTTGAATAATAATATCGTAATAATTATATTTAAAACAGAGTTTAATAACATTGAATATCCATTATATATCTAATAAAGACTATATTTAAAGATAGGTAATATAAATCCGGGACTAAACTGGGGCATATTCTATCTTTATTCATTTGTTCAAAACCCCAACGCCAAAACACGACACTGTAGCTGTCCGAATCAATTTTCGGTAACAAAGTTACCTTCTTCAGGGACTGCTATTCTGTTTGTTCTACAACAACCGCCAAAGTTTTTCCAATCTTCATATTTAGTCATTTGTTGATTTATAAAAATAATTTTCATGAAAGGTTTTAACAATAACTAGTAACAAATTACTGTGCCGGATGGTATAATATACCTTTGTAGTAGACGAGAAGAAATTGCAGGATTTAAAGCAAAATAACAGTGGGAATTATTTTTCTTATTAGTTTATTGAAAGTCAATATGAAACAGGCGAGATAGGTTGGTAGAACGTCTTCTCAAGCATGAAGGGCTAGTCAGAGACATATTAGAAGCAGAAACAGGAGTTAAGAGGAGTAGAAGTATACCTAGATTAGATTAGGTACTGTTCACAAATAGTTAAGGATGTGGAATGTTCTAGTTTTAGGGAAATGCGATTCGCACAGGACCTATCCTGTTTTCTAAAAGCCAGACTAAGAACTGACGATCTTATGATGATGATTAGTTTATTTTTTCAGACATGGTCCAAAATGGGATCGTTTCCGAAAACAAGTACAACAAATTATGTTAACACCATCAACTGCCAAAAGTTACGTACAACCATTAGATGAAATTGCTTCTGATTTCCTGAACAGGTGAGTACTGAATAATTGTTACTATTCTCTGAATTGTTTTTTTATAAAAATTGTTAAGTCTAATCTTAAAATAATGCTACGAATAGGCAATAATGATGTATTAAGGGCTTCTCATTAGCGGAGTGAACAAAAAATGAAGTTAAATAAAATGATTTCGTCGTAAGTTGAAAAATTTTTATTAAAGTTTTCCTACTAGGTCTGTGGGAAATTTTCCAAATTATAATTTTTTCAAGAAATCACTTTATTTATTACTTCATGCATTATTATCCTGTTGGTTGTTAGTTTAAAAATGTTCCAAATCACAATGAATAATCTCTGAAATAGTTAAAAAATAGGGTCTACCAGTACATTAAATAGTAAAAAAAGGGACAATTAGGGTAACAAATACGAAACTATACAGCAAATTTAAAAAAAATGTAATTTTAAATTACCATGAACTTTATATTTATTTATAAATAGAGGTGGAAGGACTTTTTTGAAGGACATGAAGG